CCTCCCCTCCCCTCCCCTCCCCTATTTTTCTCTATCACAGTCTTCTCACGAAAAACATATATAATTAGCTATGCTTTTAAACCACAGAGATTTATCTCTTCATCTATAATATACTCAATGTTAGGAAGCTTTTTTTCAATCTATTTTTAAGCCTCTCCCTCCTGGATCTTCCATTCATCTGCAAGCTGAAACAGGAAATGTTTTAATTTTTCTTAGCCATCGCCCCTTCTTTTTCCACCCGTCTTTTACTTCACCTTTCTTTTTGTTTGTCACTTTTTCTTTAGTAGTTGTAATGTCAGATTCATTTGAAAGCTGATGTGCACCAATATTATAAAAGAAAACAATATAGAAGAAAAAGGACTGTCTGAATCAGCATCATTCCTAGCTGGATTTAGTCTTGAAGGATTTCAAGGAGTTGCTAGCTGAGTCAAGCTGAGCTTCAAGTAACTATTTTGTGGGAAGGGTAACTCTCTGATCATCAAATGTTTGGCACATCTAAGCCTTACTGAAATAACTCCCAGTGAATTTTTAGCTTTAAAACTCTTTTAATTCCAAGTCTGATTTCTTCCAGTAATGAAAAGCAAATAATCCTACAATACACTACAATACAGATTCTTTAAAAAAAAAAAGATGCATGTGCTGGAAACACTACAAACAAATCTGCAAATCTGTCAGGTTTCCCAGGAATGTCTGTGCAGGTTTTGTTTGGAATGTTTTCTGGAGACTGGAACTCTTATGCTCTTTATGTGCATACCCTGTGAGCTGGTAAACTCTGCAAGCAGGGTAGGAATGTCATGGGCCTTGAGCCAAATCAGTTTTGATGTACATGGAGACTTCACACCTCTCAAGCCCTTTAATCTATATTTTTTCTTATATCTATAAATGCAAATGTACAGATAAACTTGCCTGAGGGTAATTTATCTATGGGATGTGGTTGAAGTAGACCTCAGTTAACTGCGGAACAAGGCTCCCTTCCTTCCTAGAGGTATTTTATATATTAGTAGATAACTATGAACGGTAAGACATGTCCAGCAACAGCCACTCCCCACCCCATTATGTTCACGCTGCTTATCCACATGCTGGCCTGCTTGTAAGCCACCCAGGACTTGTGACTTCCTGCCACTGACTTCCTGAGTGTTGGAAAAAAGCAGGAAGTTGCAAGGAGATCCTTGCTTAACAACCTGTGATTCTCACTTAACAATGGCAATGGGGACTGCCAGGATTTCTGTCACTAAGTGATACAATCACTTCATTTAGCAATGGAGATTCCAGTCCTAATTACTGGAGAGTAGTTGGATACGAGATGGGCAGCAAATAAATTTCATAATAAATAAACACTCTCATTAAGTGAAGACTACCTGTAAGTTCTTCGTCTCCCTTGGTTGGGAACACTTTAAAAAGAAAACATATTGGAAGTTCATTATTGAACTTTTACACAAAAGGAAATGAATGAATGCAAAAATTATAAACCCGTCCAATATGACCACATTGCTTTCAATGTGTTGAAGAGCAAACATCTTACTCTCTTGCAATCCCTTCCTCTCTAATCTCTTCATTCTGCAAGGGGAGATAAAGATCACACAAAAGAGAGATTGCCTACAGAAATTGCTTGTTTTTTTTTCTCCCCACCTTCCAAAGCAGAGAAATCGAAGAGGAGTTTGCAAGAGAGTAGGCTGTTTGTGTGGCATATCTTCAGTTCCCAGCCCTGACTGCCAGCATGATCACATTACTTTTGGTATGTAGAAGAGCAAACAACTTATTCTCTTCCAATTCCAATTCTTTCCTCTGCAATATCTTTACTCTGAAAATGGGGGGGGGGGGGAGACCCACAGGATAATATGTATTGACTGTAATCACATGATTGAGGGATACTGAAAAGGTCATAAATTGGCCATAAAGTTTTTTTCCCCAGCACTATTGTAACTTTGAACAGTCGGTGAACAAGTGGTAAGGGAGGACTACCTGTACTGAGGTCACAGAGTTGTTGTTACAGTGGTCTAATGAAGTATGTGAGTCTTCTTGAATTCCTGGAAGAAAGTCTGGATAGAGATCTAACAAACACAAATAAATATATAAGCCTATAAAACCTATTTTTCCTATGCAAAAAAGTTGTTTTTTGTCTTGCTTTTGTACTCTTCCCTTACATTTAAACTAAGGCAAGCAAGGCTATATTAAATATGATATGCTCATGATATACCTTAAGGCATATCAAATGTTGAGGATGGAAAGTCACAGTCAGCAAAGCAGAGCTCTGCTGTACAGATGTGAATTATTCTACTGGTTCCCCAAGGAATCTACTGAGCTGGCAGGTTAATTATAGCAGCAGAAACAAATCAAGGAGTGGAAGAATAACTATCATACTGAAAAAACATGATGGGCTGGTTTAAATATGCTCCAATAGGCTCTGATTCCTACTTTTGATTCCAGTGACTGTATTTAAGTCTGCTGTAAGTTGAACACCTGTCCGTGTGGAATGCGTGAAATATCCTTGCCCACCATATGCTCAACTGTTTACACACCTGTTCCAGTGTGAAATACAGCTTTAAAACAAACAGAATTTTAACTATGGAAAGTAATGTAGAAAGAGATGGCTGCATTACGCTCTTTTTTTTCTTACTAGAAATAGAGGTCTTTATGACCATATCAGAAGACAGTGTGCATGATCAAATATACAGTGCAGAAAAAAACCCTGATTTTCATTGAGAAAAATTGCCAAATGATGGCATGGTTTATGATTTAAATAATACTATTGTCATATTTTCAAGAAGTTTAGCATTTTTTTGAAAAGTGGTAAAAGTAAGGAGTTGGGTAAGGCACTGAAATCCCATATTCTTATTCCTTGGCTTGGACTAGAATAAATACCTAATTGTATTTGATATAATACTAATATAAAATGAAAATTAAAAATATATTTTCCAGATGCTAAGCATTGTCAAGATGTATTCTGACACAATAGTGTCTCCAAGTGATATTGCACTAATTTCTTCTGGCATAAAGGGAAAGGAGAATAATTTTTGACAATTCTTGATTCCCCAGCATCTCTTCACACATGGTTTAGGTCAGAAGGTTCTCTAATTTTCTAGAGCAGATTTTTGAGAAAGGAAAAGGAGCTACTTGGTGAAGGGAGAACTAATGATTGCATCTTTTCCCTGTTAATATTAATATTAAATTAGGACATCTTTAATTATCCCGCTTTCATAACCATATTTTGAATTAATTGAAGAAGAGTTGTTAAAACTCTAGAATTTTTTTTAAAAAAAAACCTTTAATTTTAATTTACCTCAGAATGCTTCTTGGTAGTTTTTTAATCTCAAGTAACAGAATAACAGAGTTATTTGTTATTTGCCATTTTTGAGGTTTCACGATGATTGAAGGTTTGAAGAAAACCGTTGTGGTTACTAAGCCAATAACATATTTTTTTATAGAGAGGGGTAGGAAGTTGATAAAGTTGACATTAGATGTTGTATGGAATAACAAACTTGAGTCTTCCTTGCTAAGTGGAAGATTGCCTTAATAACATGAGAAGAATTTCTTTTTAATTTAAAATAAAGTTAATACAAATATATATTTTATGTATATTGGATGCCTTGTTTAAAGAGAGTTGGTTGTAGTTGCCTTGATGTTAAAGATGTAATTCAGGGATGGAAATGTTAACCCATATGATCTCCATTTTTGACTGAAATCAACAAAATGGTTAATGTATTCTTGAGTATGTCTCTAGTATACCAAATTTATGAAGAACTAAGGAATTGAGGACTTGCTAAAAGAATTATTATACAACATTAGAAGGAAAAATCTATATTAATTTTGATTGTCTGGTAGACCATGTATGTTTGTACATGTACTTTTTCCTGTTAATTAATGAAAATATTGAAAATGTTGCTGCTTACTGAATTAAATTACTTCAAAAATTTCTGAGAAAGGAGAACTTCTAAAAGTGCATTCTTGTTGAATCCCTATTATAGTGGACATCCTTCAGATATATTCAGCGTTACCAAATCTCATGTTGGGCTATTTAACTTCTACTTTGTTGTGTAAACTGGCTCTGTTTCTTTAACTATATATCCATAAACCATCCTTCAGTGAAAATTCATGACCGGATACTTTTGTTGTCTTGTTGAATCTTTTAAAATGTTTGTCATTTGCTTATTCTCCTCTTCAGCTGACAAATTTAAATATGATAAATGGAGCTGTTAATAAAATAAATGCAACTGCTTCCAGTTATCGACCACCACTGAATCCAGGAGGTTCATTTTGGGCTTTCCAAACACAGAGCAGTACTCCTGATACCAGGCCTGCATCTTTTACACTGAGGTAAGAGAAACAATTAGACTGAAAATATATATGCTTTAGAGTCATATCTACATATCCCATTAGCATTTTGCTTGTATAATGTTGTGCAAGAATGTGATTATTTGCTGACTGCTAATTTCTTGAAGAAGCTAACAACATAAGTATTGAAACACCTGCACATATATATTGGCTCACATGGCACCATCAAGAAGTAATTTTACAAATAAATAGCCATGAAAACCTACAGTTTCTGAATATTACTTTTTTACAAGACCATGTCTGAATTAGATTAATTGATGTATGTAGGCAGTCTTTAATTCTGTGGTGGATATGAAAGTTCTCTATTTGTTTTTTGCTGATATTATATAGAAATAATATATTTTGCCCATTATATGAATAACAAAAAAGAAAAGTTGGTATTAATGTATTTTTCTCAAGATATAATATCTAGTCACTCAATGAAACAAATAGTCAAACAAGAATCTTGCCTTTTCTCATTGTCATCAGTAGGGTATCTTGTTCAAAGAGCAGCCAATGGGACTAGCCACACTTGTCTGAAATTGATTTATCTGTCTATAAATGACACTATTTTCTTGTAGTTTTTGTGAACCTTAGCAATTATGTAAATGCTTCTCCTTCTTTAATATATGAAATACTGCAGTGGAAATTAATCAGTATAAGGGAGCTGATTTTGATGAATGGTAGATATGATTTTAAATATACCTAGCAACAAATTGAAATCAATTTTCAAGGATTCATTTTATGTCTCTCTCTTCTTCTCCTCCACCCAAAGTAGAAGTTTTAAAATATGAACATGTAAGGAAGAGATTTCTGAAAAAGTTGATCCTGATGCCTTTAAGGATTTAAAGGCTGAAATTGGTTATCTTGACTTAGACCCTGAAATGTATTTGCAGCCCATACAGCAAAGAGATATATAATATGGTCAATCTAATATCATATTACAACTTAGCATATTATTCTAGATATATTAAAGCTCTAAATTGTCTTTGAGATCAGTGCCAGGTAAGAGAGCATTAAAATAATCAAGCCTAGTCATAACTAGAGTAAGTATGGTTCCTTTAAGTAAAATTACAGTTGCTCAACCAGACACAGTTTATAAAAACTCTCATGACCACTAATGTCATTTGAATTCTGAAACAGCACCATTTGTCTCCAAACTCATTTTCTATTTCTTCAGAGGAAATATCCATCCAAAAAAATTTGGAATTTGCTAATTCTCATTCATATAAAAATAATGTTTGGCTATTCTGATAACATGTCATAGAGAATCCTTTCCCATCTATCTATTGAAAACTCTTTTAACTGGGGATGCTAGGGAATGGATCTCAGGCCTTACTGCATGCCAGACATTACCATTAAATTATAGCTTTTATTCTAACATCTGCTGTAGGCTTCTTCCAGGATGATTTTTAATTTTACGATCTAGCTTAAAGCCCTGATGTTCACTGATGTCCTTTCAAACAAGTTGTAACCAGCTTCTGAGCCCAGACAAGGTCCGAGCAAAGATCTGGTCAAGAGACTAATACAGGTAGTCATCAATTAGTGACTTCCTCATCTAGCAATGGTTTGCAGTTATGATGTTAATGAAAAAGTAACTTTATGACCAGACCTTGCATTTATAATCTTTGCAGGTCTCTACAGCAAAGGAAAGATAAAGTAAGATCATAAGCATAGTGGTGATTTCACTTATCAAGTGCTTTCCTTAACAAGTTTCTGGTCCCTATTGTAGTCTCTAAACAATGACTACCTGTATTCATACTTATGTATAAGAAACACTGAAGTTACAAGAGAAGTAATTAGCAAGATTAGCTAAATGAAAAATTAGCAAGTTGCTAGCAGCTCTAGTTATGGTTGAGTATTTCTAACATTCAGTTCAACTTGATATTGACATTTATTTCAGATCAAAGTTTTAGGATCCATTCTTTCCCTCTTAAACTCCCTTTGTAAGTCTGCAATGCATTGACCATTATTGTATATCGGTCAATTGCTCATTAACTGTCTTTATTTTTATGTGAATAACTTTGAAGCAATCTCTACT